ACAGAGTAGCTAGTTGTCGTATGATTTATGTCGTGCGAGTCTTTTTAGTGACATTATTCAATATAACTACACTAAGTACTTGAGAGATCTTGATCGAATTCGAGAGATTGCTCTAGTTTTTGAAATTGAACAAGAATTATTGTGTAAAATTCTTTTGGTTTCTTATTTTCTTTCATTGGAGAATGTGTTATTTGAAAAGGAAAAAAAAAAATAGTATTTGGATAAATATACGTAATCACTTTTTTGTAAAATTCCGGTTTAGTATGAAATAATTTAACCGGACAAGACATGTTATAGATGGTTGAACCGAAAAGACTTATTCGGTTTTTTACTTTTGGCCGCCTATGAAACCGATTCATTGGAGAGGTTTTTCGTTTTTTGGTATTGTCAATGTCTTCCTTGGAAAATGGAAAAGAAGAAGAGGAAGATAAACGATGATTTTGTGAATTTGTTTACATACAGCAAAATACCAAACATTATTAAGTTGTTTACATATTCAATATTTTTGTGAATTCGTTAGGTGATTTTTTAATGTTCCAATCATATTAATAAAATAAAAATATTCAATTTTCTAATTTTATCGAAAATAGATAGTGGCAGTCCGAAAGTTTATTTCTATCGAAAGAATCAATATATCGAGTTTTTAACCAAAGAATATTTATTTCGATCAAAGGAAAAAATCAAAAAACATTTATAGATTTTATTCGTGAGTTTTCCAATTTAAGAAAACAAAGAAAATTAGTGTTGGATAGTTTCACCGAATGAATGATAGCTAAAGATTAGATCACATTCGATATAATGTGAATATGTGGAAAAAAATTGTTTTCTTTGTTTTGAAACTTTTAACTATGTAATTGGTTACAATTTTTTTTAATATGTATTATACATTTTTGGATTTTACATTAATAAAATATGGATGTTGAGAATTAAAAAGAAATGTAAACTGATTTAAAATGAAAATTTTAAAAAATACCACTTTTCAAGTGTCACTTTACAAAAATGCCACACTTTTGAAATCTTTACAAAAATGCCAGTTTTTCAAAAAAAAAATTTATATTATTTATGTTTGGGTTAATTATGTTCTATTAGAGTTTAGTTATGAGGGTTAAAGGAGGTTTAGGGGTCAAAACATT